TCATGGTATTAAAATATTAATACTGGTATTCATAAAAATCGCCTTAATAGGCCTATAGTAATAATACTACTGTAGATAATTATAATAATGATGATATTATTAATAATAATGATAATAATAATAATAATAATAATAATGATAATAATAATGATGATGATGATCATGATGATCATAATGATGAAGATGATGATGAGGTTGTTGTTGATGATGATAATGATAATGATAGTAATAATAAAAAATATTGATTTACTTACTCTCTAGAAACAACTATGTATACGTTTCCATTGAAATGAAAATGTCCTATGACTCCAGGATTTTCAACTGAGATAGTGGCTTTTAAAGACAATTTATCCAATATTCCTAGAAAATCAAGACTAGTCTGAGACGCTAAAAATCATCAAATCAATGGCCATTTGTTCACTCTTTTAACACTTACACCTCGCTATCTATTATTGTTTGTTTCCAGAAAAGATCAAGACTTAACTGATGCTAAATGGAGTAAATAAACATATATGTCCGGTTGGCGATAACTTTGATTAGGGTACAAGCTTGGTGTATTATTTTATTTTATTTTATTTTTTTATTTATTCATTCATGTCTGGTTTCGTTGTCTATTCATATTGTTTCAGGCGCATTGAGACTTAATTTGCGCTATATAAATCCATCAATTATATTATATATATTATATATATATATATATATATAATTAGTATTATTATATAATAAGCAGGAGGAAATTCTTGCCTAGAAACCAATTATTGCTAATCCATAGATAATCAATAACATCTAGACAATAGGCTTCTTTTAATCACCGCTAATCTGCTTATCAATTAATGATATGCATACCTTTCCTTGTAATAACATCAGTTGTACATATCCGCCTGATGTGTGTATATATATATATATATATTATAATATATTATATATATATATATATATATATATATATATATATATAATTAGGCCCTATATATATAATATAATTATATATATATATATTTATTTATCGGCCAGCGTCAGTCTCCATAGACTATGCAATAAAAATAACATACTTTGCTGTTTTACGGAAAGATATTTTTCATAAATTAGATAAACATTAGTTATTGTGAATTAAAATTCCTTATTTATAACTGTATTGCTTAATTCTTATTTGTTTTAAACTTTCACCAATTGTGTCAGTTAGTTATTTTCTCTTCTCTTCTCTTTCTTCTATATACATATATATATATATATATATATATATATATATATATATATATATATACATACACATAAATATATACATTACACATATACATACAAACATATATATACCGCATATATATATATATATATATATATATATATATATATATACTGTATATATATATATATAGTTGTAATGTCTATATATAGATGTGATGACATCATCATACTTACCATGCTCACAGTTAATACCTCGAAAACCTTTAGCGCATACACAACTGTATCCCCGATCAGTACAATCATTCTCACAAATTGATCCATGTTGACACAAACTGCCATTAGAACATGCTCCAAAATAACTCTGAAATATATTATACTTTTTATTTCATCTTGAGGCACATACATTTTATATAAATTACAGAAGCAGTTTTCAGTCGTTGTTGTACATGTAAAACCTATATGGCTATCTGATATAGTTCAACTTGTATAATGTAAGCCATGTAAAAAGCACTCCAGAAAATCATATACCATTATTTTTTAAGACTAGCGAAACGGTTTTTTTCATTGTTCATGATTTACATGTTTGGAACCATATAAATCGAACTATGAATCAATCAATTTCTGTCGGTAACTTTAAATGAAAGTACTGATAAAAATATCAAATTATTTCACAGTACGGTGTACAGTATTATAATTCAACGCAATGTTATTCACCGAGTGTTTCAGTTTCGTTGTTTAAAATGTATGTTGATGCATGTGTATGGGGTAATTAAAATAAAGCATTTTTTCACTCTTCTTGTCCACGATATGTTGGTAGTGTAGCTGAAGATGTTGATTGAATTGAAAATGGAACTGAAACAGTCGCTGAAAACACAGTACAGTACGCCTTACCTTTCCTGGTGATCGGTTCGGTATTGGCAGGCTATCAAAGTGAACCGAAGACTCGTCTCGTACAAGTCGTCGTGTATTTTTGGCCACCTGGATTGTATACAGACTACAGGTTCCGTCTGCGAACGCGAACGACTTGCACTGAGTGTTTTTTCGACAGAAAACGGAACAAATGTGCATGTCGGTGTTGTTATAAGCCAGTAAGGGGTCAGGCAACGTCCACCGATTACGACCACGATACACGGCCTCTCCTTCCGTGTTAGCACAAGGGGGCACATCAGCTCCGGCGAGGGGGATTATAAGCAGAAAATAAAAACATACTTTTAGAACTGCCATTTCTTTCACCATTTCTTCTCAATTTTAAGCTCCAAAATGATCAATTTAATCGTCGGTCTAATAACTTTATTAGGTGAATCATTAATTCATGCGTAATCATCAATGCAAGTTGCATACTTATTTATTTCAACATCGACCCCCTGTCGATTAGGCCTATTATACAAAAGAATGTTAGTGGCATATCCATTGTAACATAATCGATTTAATTAAATTTCTGCTACATCATCTTCATCGTAGTGATGCATTAAATAGTAAATTGTTGAAAAAGTTATATTTAACATAAAAAAAACAAAAAAAAAACAAGACAAAACAAAACAAAAAAAAAACAAAAAGACAAAACAAAAAAAAAAAAACAAAAACAAAAACAAAAAAAATTAAAAAAAAGGGGGGAAAAAAGCAAAAAACAAATAGACTTGCTTAAATACCATTTGTTATTACGTGATATACTGTAGTCTTGTATAGAAAAAAAAAACAAAAACAAAAACTGGGACAGGCCTATGCTGATTACAACAATATATTGTTGTAAAATGAATGTAAAGGACAGGAAAGAAATGAAAGAAACAGAAAGATAAAAGAAGGAAAAGGAAACAATGAAAAGGTAAAGACAAAATTTATAGGGAAGTAAAGGATAAACATAAAATAGGAATGAAAAAAAGCAAATGGAAGAAAAGGAAAGACATGGATAAAGGAAAATAAAGGTAAGGTAATAAGAAGAAAGAAAATATTCAAAAAAAATTTATCAAATAGATCGAAGAGACTATTAGTATAACGTAGGTTGGTTTTGTCCTTGGTAGCTTTATTTAGTATTTAATACCCGTTCAGATCCAATAATCAATATAATTAATAACATAATATTTAAACACAATAACATGAGCATTGCCTTGTCCACATGAACAACTATCAATTTGAGCGACGAGGTTACCGTAACGAATTCACTCTGACCATTCTGCGTTCTCTCCACGACAACGTAACTTGACGCTGAATGAGCGAATGCTTCAACGCGACCTCATTACGTGAATTTATACCGGAGTATCAAAGCGCCTGATCAGGCGTTCGATGTGTGGTGTGGTTTAGCTCGTACAGTAACTTTCTTCTCCCCTATGGGTCTCTTCATGTCTGGGCTATCCGGTAAACCGACACCAGCTATCTCTCGTCTATCCACAACAGGGGCTGTATGAACCAGTACACTGGTGTAACTCCCTATTAGTCTCGAAAATTGCACTGGGTTCTTTAAAGTTCACATTAGCCAAATGGTGTACACTGGGCTTACGGTTTATAGTCCTTAGGCCTATAAGAGAAGACTTGTTCCACTACCAGAACCATAGGCGAGCATGCCGTTCAACGCTCGGGTATGTAGGCCTAAATTACCTATGACTTTACATAGAGACAACCAACCATATTTTTACACATGGTGTACCGAAAGTTTAAAGAATCTGTTATAACTGTAATTTAAAGCATATTCATGATAGAAGGCGCGCCTTCCAATCCTGACATTAAGGATATTAAACCATTCCATATCTATTTGATAATTTTATACTCATCAAAAGTATTGAAGCAAATTAAAATATAAATAATAATTATTCAAAGATCCTATTATAAGATCTTTGATATTAATAATAATGAACAACGATGACAGTATTAAGTGGCGGTTGGTGGCGGTAATTGTTCGTCTTCACCAAGGTCACTTGATACGTCATTATAAACGCTCGCAATCAGTTCTTCGTCGTGGGACTGCCTCGACAACTTTTTCGCACTCCTTAAAACATTGTAAATAACAACAATACAAAATATCATTATGAAAGACGAGGCAATTCCTAGTGCTATTACAGCTTTCGTGTTCATATGGTTGTATTCGGTTGTGAACTCCTTGCAATTGTTAATTCCGGATACATCTTCATCCAAGCCTGCAATGCTTATTACGCATACGCAGTAAGTTGTTAGGTACGATAGATTATCTATTATTAATGAAGTGATTGTAACGTTTGAAATTATCTTTTTCGAGTCAATTTTAGAATCTAATAATTCACCGGAGTTACAATTCTGTTTATAGTTTAGAACGATATAATGTTTAATTCTAGTTGTGACTGGTGGCAGATGCCATGTGACTTTCTCAGCATCAAAGCTTCCAACCGACTCGACAGAAACGTTAAATGCACCTGTAGTAGACATTCTCGTTGAAGGCGTCCTACTCTCAGCACGTTCTGATGACGTAAACGAAATGTGCTCTGACGTAACCGCACTGCTAACAGTCGTGCCTTTCGTGGGCTTAGTGCCAATACCTAGAAGTGTGGCGCCCGCAGAGAATGATTTGGGGAAGATTTCGGCGTCGGTTTCCGCGTCCGTTATAGTTGCTGATGGCGAGTTTGTTCGCAGTTCTGGTGATAATTTAACTAAAGCATTTTTCGTTGAAGCCTCGATTGATGTTTGTACACCCACAGATGTCACTGCCGTACATACAAGTGATAGCCCTATAGCAATTATTATGTGCTGCATTTTTAAAATACCTGAAATATAATGAAAAGTCGTACAAGTTTAATACCAAACGTTTCCTTTATGCCATATTCACCATATAGCGCTATTGATACCAGCATAAATTTACCTACTGCAAGAAGACGATCTATGGTTTATAAATCGAAGTTTAAAGCTCTCAAAATATGCTAGTAGTATAGGCTTACTTTTTAAATGATAATTATAGCAAAATCACATACATACAGATTTAAATGCTGTATAGGAAATACCTTACCAATATACTTGTAGTAGGCGGCTGAACCGCCCGGTTTCCTCAACATGCCTTCAATTTAACAGCCGGATTTCCCGTCAAACCACTCAGCCATCATAAAACACAACTGTAGACCTACTCGATACCGAAACTATTCATTTTAAATCTGCCAATAGTCATCAACCTGACATACCATATAATCTGATCGGAGACGATAGTCGATAAACGCACTCAGGTATAATGTTACTTCACAGTACTGTATGACACCAGTCGTTTAATACAGATCACAAATGTTTACTTAAGGTGCGAGTGATTTTTATTGGGAAACTGAGAATCACGTTTTCTTTCGAGTTCTTATCTTCCGGCGTTGGTGTTTACAGGAAAGGAATCTAGTGCTATCTCTGAGTATTGACTCCGTATCGCTTACGTCATAATAAATCAATGAGATTTTATCAACACAGCTGTTGGTAAGACAACCAGTAAGATACGCCAAACATTATTATCAAACATCCATGAAGATAATACTTATTTATCAAAACGTTATTTTAAATATTAATTTAAAATAGACCTACAAAGAAATGGTCCACTCATGTTCTAATTACAAGGCGTGGTGAAGTACGCCCCCTATGTTTTCATAATTCATAAACAACACATACGAACTGAAGTTAAAACTCGAATGTTAAACGAAGCATTTTTATTACGTTTCCAATACCGCAAAAATAGGCCTAATACAAAGTACACCAATCTCAAATTTAAAGCAGGATAAAACCTGGGGTGGATGTAGGGGGTGGGATGCAGAGGGTGCGATTGAACCCTACTAAATTGTATTAAGAAAAATAATTGTATTATATTGTTGATATGAATTATTGGTATAAGAGGCGTCGCGCGCCAGCCTTAACATCGTCGTTGGTTGACTCTTCTTGCGGAGGCTTAGTTAGTAGAACCAATTCTTCTCGGAGATGTCCAGTGGTTGAATGTGAAGCAAGCTAACGCTACACTGGTCCATGTATTTATATTTTTCCGAATGTCAGTTTAGCCATGGAGTTATAATTATTTTGATTTTATAACTCCATGGTTTAGCCTTCAATAATCTGAATATTATCACTGATTATTATAAAATAAAACGCCATTTTAGTTGAAAAATCACTTTGTTGTAGCTAAGAGCGTATATTATACAAGTTCTATGTTATTTATAATTCCATGCTAACACTTGATTATCTTGTCACTGGAGTCCGTCCTTTAATTTTTATTCTGTTATATAATTTTTTGTTTATATACTTTTTAAAAAATTTTATTTATCTCATCTAACAGGGAATGACGAGTATAAAAATACAACACATAATATAAGATTAACTTTTTATAAATCATTATTAACAAACGGTCATTTATTCAACACATAACACATAGCATTTAAAATTGTTGACATAATTGTAAACTATGCTTTTAAAAAAGTAACGCATTTGTAACGATACGTAACGCACTTGTAACCAAGTTTTAACGCTTTAATTTACTACATATCACACTGAACAACAGTCGGAAATTATTGTAACAACATCATCTAACTTCCATTTAGATCGGTATAAACAAACATGAAACAGAGTGAACAACTATGAACCACTGTATTTTAAATAAATGGGAATTGAGCCATGGCTACTTCAAACAAACATCACATTGCATTTTAAAGATTCCATCAGAACCGTAATTGTAAAAAAGAAGGAATTGCATGAATAAAGATGATAACGTAATGATGAACATCAGAATGAAAAAGTTAGCAACTTTTACATGTAGCTATGGCTCAATTCCCATTTTTTTTCTTTAAAAATAAATGCTTCACAGTTGTTCACTACCTTTATAAAGGAGGTTGCATGTTTTATCATCGTTTCACTGGAGATTGCGAAGGATTTGCCGAAACTTGTTTGTTTACACTGAATACAATCTACTAGGCCTATATATACAAATATATATATATATACAAATATATATATATATATATATATATATATATATACAAGTATATATATATACAAATATATATATACACAAACATATATGTACACACAAATATATATATATAATATTAATATTGGAAATTTAAACTAATAATAAGTTTTTCAATATTTGATTAAAAATGCCATGCACTATTCATGTTTTTATTATCAGTACTTTTACGTTTTAAAAAAAATACGCGTTTATATTATTGAATATTAAAGAAAACGTTTGATTAAAATTATATAAATGGATGTAATAAGTGAAAGGAATGTTGGGTAAACTATGATGGCGCTATTGCCAACGATTTCACAGTGCTCTTTATTATCTCCAACGCAAGCGGCGTACTTCATCACGTGCATTATATAGTTTTGTTCGTGGACGCCGTGGAATAAGTGCGCCATTGGACCAGTTGCGTAGATGGCAACATCTTCACCTCCATGCGTTTCTGATGACAGAGGGACCAATGCATCTTGTTTGTAGTCCCTATCCTCT